GTTAAAATTACTGTTTGAAAGTTGACTGATGATTTTATGGACGAAATGTGTGAAATGGACCAACGCTGTAATTATATATAAAGGTTTGGGACTCCAACCATAAAAATTAACGGTTTGAGTGTAATCTGCAACAAAATGAAAGGTTTTGGGACCAGCGCTGCAATTTTTCCGAGTCAAAATTACTGTTGAAATGTTGACTGACAGTTTTATGGATGGTATTAAAGGCTTGGGACCGACGCTGCAACTACATATAAAGATTTGGGACTTCGACCGCAAAAATAAAAGATTTGGGTATAATCTGCAACAAAATGAAAGGTTTGGAACCACGGTATATATATATAAATTTTATATCTTTATTTAATGCGCACATATGACTATTTTACGCCTAAATGTATTTAGTATTCTCATATTTCGGTTTAGGTGGCAATTCGATAGATATTGCATAATTTGAAAGAAATAAGGGAAAAATGACCAAAATGAAAGAAAGCGAAAGTTCGAGAACAAAAGTGCAAATATTCTAAAATTATATTGAACCTCAAGATGAAGACTTGAGAGTGTTAGATGCCAAAATAGATGAAGAAAGAAGTCAAAAGGATGAAATATAGCCAAGACATTATCACATATCAACTTTCAAATTGAAAAGTTTTGCATCAATTTTCAGCCTCATATTGAGACCCATTTTTGACATGGAAAACAATCTAATTGGAAGATGATATCTGAAGCANTCAGCCTCATATTGAGACCAATTTCGGACATGGAAAACGATATAATTCGAAGATAGTTTCTGAAGTAAAGTTGTAGCCCTTTAAATTAGATTTTCAACGCATCTTGAATCACATCAATTGGACATCGGTAGAGAAAGTTATGACTAAAATACTGAAAGCTGTCCAACGAAAAAAATGACAAAGACATGCGTTCGCATAGCACAAATACTATGTGGTCGCCCACTCTTTTACCAAGAATTGGGAGGCTAGAAACTGCAAAACCATGCAATTGCATGGTTTATATCCTTGCGATTTCATGGTAGTAACTGTTGACGCGAT